TGAAAAGAAAGAAATTAGCAATATTAGCAATAATCCAGGTCAGATGTCACGATTAAAACATTGATGATCTTTGTAAAAATACATATACTTCATACGTACAGGAAGGCCTGGGTTTCCTGGAAAGCCTGATGCTCCTGGGGGGCCCTACAATTGACAAAAACATAAACTGAAATGACAAACCCACACAACAGCAACAACAAGCTGCAGCCCAAGTCGCATCTCCAGTGGTGATAGTCAAAAAACAAGTAACAGTTTCTTTTAAACTTCCTTGACAAAATAGCTCTAATCTTCAAAACCTCGCAAACGTGGCAGCTTAGTAATCCATAACTGAAATCAACTTTTTTTATTTCTTTAATTTCTTAAGCAGCAATATGGATTTCCTTCAACAGGAACTGGACCAGAGCCTTGTGCACAGGAAAAAAGGAATGCAGAGGTGCTGTCTTCTCACAACCATTGTTCTCAAAATGAAATTTAATGTAGGTACCTCATCATAGCAGAAGAGGATGTTAACACAGTGTAAAGATGCTTCTCTATCTTTCATACTCCACATCAGTGTATCAATTCATCCTTATTATCAAAAAACCTATCGGGCTGAGATAACTCTTTATCCTTGAACAGCCTTCCAGTGTAGCAAATCAGGAGTGTGACTTGGCACATCATTTTCATCCTACCAACTGTGCTGGTTTTGGCTGAGATAGAGTTAATTTTCTTCATAGTATGGGGCTATGTTTTGGATTTGTGCTGAAACCAGAGTTGATAATTCAGGGATGTTTTCATTATTGCTGAGCAGTGCTTACACAGAGTCAAGGCCTCTTCTGCTCCTCACACCACCCCACCAGCGAGAAGGCTGGGGGTGCACAAGAAGCTGGGAGGGGACACAGCTGGGACAGCTGACCCCAACTGACCAAAGGGATACTCCATACCATACAACATCATGCTCAGCATATAAAGCTGGGGGAAGAAGAAGGAAGGAGGGGATGTTCAGAGTTATGGCATTTGCCTTGCCAGGTAACTGATATGCGTGATGGAGCCTTGCTTTCCTGGAGATGGCTGAACACCTGCCTGCTGATGTTGAAAGTATACGAGGAATGAAGCTGAGGGTGAAAGAATCCATATTTGGGACAACACCGATGAGAAGTGGTGAATTAACTCCTTGTTTTGCTTTGCTTGTGTGTGTGGCTTTTGCTTTACCTATTAAACTGTCTTTATCTCAACCCATGAATTTTCTCCCTTTTACCCTTCCTATTTTCTCCCCCATCTCACCATGGGGAGAGTGAGCAAGTGGCTGCGTGGTGCTTAGTTGCTGGCTGGGTGTAAGCCATGACACCAGCTTATTTATTCATGCAGTATTTCCTAGTACATGTATTGTGAAGCAGAAAAGATGTATGGGAATCCTGTGCTCAGATAGTATATTTGCATCTCCAAAACTTTATAATTGCTAAAATTCAGTCTCCTTGCACTGTAGCACACAAACACATCTGCCAGGAGATGCCAATTCACATTAACACTCAGGATACCCCAGGGTATCACGAAATTTCATAGACTGACATAAGGATTTCTTGATCGAGCAGAATATCCCCTCTGTAAAAGCTCAGAAACTGCAGTTGATTCAGTAAATTCTTTGTGCTGCAGCAACTGCAGGCAAATGGAGAACAAAACTGAGATGGCATTTTGAAAATCTGTGGAAAAGAGAGTATAGCTGAAAATGTATGCATCATTATTAGTCAAGCCATCCAAATTCTCTTTCATCATTACATTACAAAATGTGAAAATGCTCAGAATGAACTTGGCACCTCACAAAACCCCAAAAGACATGGTCCTGGCTAACATAATGTTCTAAATTAAGTGTTATATAACAGAAATGACACCAGGAAGGTTACAGGCATATTCAGAACCTCTTCTAGCAAAGTCAAGAAATTTCTGTCCCTGCCTTTAATTCGGCTCTGTACCCTGTGCACATTTTTAACATGTATGTGCTCACGAGTGTGTCAGCTTCTCTGCTGGAGTGCTTCAAGGGTGTTAGACGGCAAACATAAAGGAGAATTTTGCATGAGGTAACAAGGTTTGTTCATATTCAAGCTGGAAAAAAGCCTCTTGATATGTCAGAAAGATATCATATTAAAACCCCTGCTGTTGATGGAGTGGTAAGTTCCAGGTGAAAATGCAAATGGACAAAGGCACTGACTGAGCAATGCAGAAAGAACTTCAAAGGCAAAAGCAAGAATTTTGAAATTATTGTGCAGCACATTGATTAACTCAAAGAAGAGACTAACCCCGTCTTGCACTTGAAGGCAGCTGTGGAGAGTTAAAGACATATAAACCCACAGACATCAGAATTGCAAAAAGTAAGTCAGAACTCACTCTTGTTCCCTTCGTTCCTGGCAGTCCTGGTTCTCCAGTATCACCCTGAAAAGGAAAAGAGATAGCTTTGTCTTTCCTAGGGACAACAATTTAGGGAATTCTGAGTGTTTTAAATATTAAAGCTTAAGTTCTTACCTTAAGCCCTGGTGGCCCAGGAGGACCTTCAGGTCCTTGCATTCCAGGAAACCCAATCACACCCTGTAGTCCAGGCAAGCCTCTTTCTCCCTGTGGAAGAAGAAAACTCATTAGCAACTGCACAGCTGAAGCTGCGTCTTCAAGTAACACACATATCCTGTTTCTGTGTTCAAGAAACTTGTTAGGTGGTAAGAAGTTACATGTGACAGCAAACATTTCATGCTGATGTTTGAAAGAAGGATTATTATAAACAAAGCAATTTGTCTGGTTCAATAATAGGTTGGAAAAGTCTGAAGATGGCATAATAGAAAAGCAGTCTTTGAATGTCAATGAAACCTTTTTTCTGTCTCCCTAGATAGCACTGTTCATAGCATATTTATATACCTGTGATCAGGAAGGCCACTTTCCCTCTAAGATGACTTACCTGCATTCCTATAGAGATACCACTAAACCCTGATAGAAAATCTAACCCCAAATCAGCAATTAAACTCCCAAAAACTGCAAATATCACTATTCAGTCACTACTGTATGAATGGCAAATAACACCCTTCTTGTGTATTATTCACAACAGCAGATCTTGAAGACCAAGCTTGTCACTTATTCTTGAGTTTCAGGGTTGTTCACAGCCTGGGTGCATTGAGATACAGGATCTTCGCAAGAAGCTGAAGATACAGATTGTATGTGCCATTCTTTAGCTTGTTCTTTAATGCTGCATGGGACATCTGTGTTTTCTGTGCTGTCCCTCTCCCTACAATCCCAAATGTATATAAATCAGATAAATCTAGAGGCAGAAAGTCCATGCACACTCTAGATTAATATTGCAGCTATTACACATTCACTATACTTGGGAGTCCCAGTGAAACCAAAAGCAACGCCATCTGAAAAAAGGCTGCAAAATCTACACGTAGGGGAGAGGGAAAATAAATGATGCATGTGAAAGTCTGAAAATAGCAAATTAAGCAAATCAAAAGCTCAACGTTCCACGTAGGAAGGAACTAGAGTTGTCCTTTCAAAGTGTGGTGTGAAACAAGGAGAAACACTTCATATTGTCAAAAAATGTGGGAATATTGGATAAATAAAACACTAGTGAGCAACTGCAAAAAGGAAAAGGTATACAAGTTTGGACAACAGCTAAAAAACACAGCTGTTTTAGAAACTCAAAACACAGACCAATTTTCAAAGGATACCACGGACGTAATATCAGCAAGGTTCAAAAGGAAGCTACACAAAGATTTAAGTATTTTCAGCAAAACACTGAGAGATGAGATTGCTATTTGTAAGTAACAAACAACAAATTTGTATTTTAGCATGGTGAATAGTAAGAAACTTTTCTCTTCCTTGCTCAGGACAAAGATTTCCAGCAATATGCCGGTAACTTGCAGGGGTCAGCTGAGGACTGAGCACAGAAGAGAAGAAGATCTGAGTCTTGGAGAGCTCCCTCTTCAAGTAGATAAAACAGGCATCTTGCAAAGAAAAGGTTATGATATGTAGGCAGAGGAAATCACAAATGACCCATAGACATGGTGCGAGTTACAGTTTTGGAAGATAAGGGGAATTGGAAGATTTGTGGAGTTACTAGGTTGATGTTGCTTTATAGCTCCTTTGGTGATGTTGCTTTTTAGCTCCTTGGCTGGGATTTTGTTAAGAAGGTGAAGAGACAAAGGAGAAGAAAGGTGACTGATGGGTAAGAAAAGCAGGGCCAAGGAGGAAGGAGGGGAGAAAACTATAACTGAGATGATAAGAGCATGAGACAGTGAAATCAAAATAACATTAATTTATTAATATTTCCTGCCAAGAAAACCTGTCCGGCTGCCTCTCCTCTCCTTCTTCCCACAAAAAAAAAAAAAAAAAGAAACCAAACAAACAAACAAAAAAAAAACAAATCAGTAAAAAGGTTCTTTCTGAAGCAAACAATGAGTTTTTCCTTGAAGTGCTGAAACAAAGTTTGCTAGTAACCCAAATCCCAGGCAGCGTGTTAGACCACAAAACACAGCAAAACAAAGCAAACGGCAGAACAGCTGAAGAAATACATTTCTAAAAGTCAGCTGTAAGAGGTACAAAGTCGAAGTTCTAAAATAATTAAAATTGTTTTGAAAAATATTTTAAGGAAGAAGGTATCAGCATCCAGGCCTCTGAACAAATGTTGAAGTAATTATCCTAAAATCTGATGGCTGTCTGAAATGTTGAACAGATTACTGAGGTTCTTAAACCCATACTTTGGCTGGCGAATTGGCACTGCAGTAACAAGTGTATCTCTACAAAACCAGATGTTGTGTCACTTCAGACCAGGATTTTACGCTGAACCCTGGGCACTTGCTCTCATGACCTGCTGGGAGATGGACTAAGGAGGGGGAAGACACTCAAGTACATAAATCTGGGTTTTCCATTGCTGAAGAAGAGCACAACATGTGCAAATGAGAAGAAAACAAGATTATTTTGACACCTATAGAGAGAGATGAATCATGTGTAACACGACTAATACTTTATACACTTAGGAGTTCTGTCCATCCGATGATTTCAACACACTCTGAACCACCGTACCCTGCAACGCAGGGAAACGGTCTTCCCTCCATTCTTAAGGAAAGATAAAGCTGAGGTTTACAGATCAGATTTTCACTTAGTCTAAGGCTCCCTTAAGACTGCTCTGGCATTGTAAAAGGGCCTTAACGTGCCTGTAAATCACTCACTAAGGTAATGGCCACTTCAACTTGCCAAGGAGGTTAACTCAAGGCTTGAAATAAATAAAAACTTAGGCTTCCAAGGCAACTATAGTCAATTCTCTCAAGGCTGTCTTCAACCTCCCAGGTTGCCCTGTCTGAGGGGTAAAACTCTGCAGGAGCAGAGTCGAGACCATACCGCGTCACTTTGAGCTAAGATACATCCAGGTTTCCGTAGAAACATTTTATTTTACTGACTTGACCTGTTAGTCCAACAAGAAGAATAACTGGCTATTTGTCCAGGACTTCTGGACATCCAGTCAAGCTACTGGCTATCCCAAGGCCTGGAGAGCATAACTCCTGAGCATGTGGAGGGCTGTACTGTCCCAAATACTGCAGACTCATGGTTTCTCATACTGGAACTGAGCTCATCTTTTTGCCTGCGATTTGCCAATGGGAAGTAAGGAAACATAACGGTGACTGCACATGTGAGAGCTGCCAGATCCCTCTCTGTGTGCAACGTGCCACCTTGGCCACTGATTCTAACAGGAGGGCATGGACTTATGCACTGGTTACACCTTTCCCTCTACTCTGCTTTCCCATTTGATTTTACTGCAACTTAAGTTTGGGGTAAGTACTGCAAAGTAAGTATTGGGTAAGTAGCCAAAACTAGTGCAGTCTCAGGCTACACAGTTAATGAGACTTCACTTCTCCATGTCACTGATGGAAACTCAGAGAAGTTAGGACAACCTATTCCAGCAAGACCCAGCAACAGACCTAGGGATGTCTCCTGGGTTCCAGTCCCTTTCTTTAGTCCAGGTATCAGACTGCCTCTTTGTATAACAGTCTTAGAAAACTAGCGTGCCAAAACTTGTTAGGAAAGAAACAGTGCTAATGAACAAAGGTCTAACTTCAATACTCCTGCTCCAGTTAATACCAACTTCCACCATGAGATGTTTTTTTGGCATCAGTGAAACTACATTAAATTACAGTAAAATTCTGTCAGTCATAAAGTACCTACACTGAATAAGAGTACAGAAACTCTACCATCTAGAAGCTGTAAAGTCACGTGAATGCAGAGCTCCATGTGTCTTAATGTCATTGGGTAGATTGGTCTGCAGAGATTGCTAGGGTAGCAACATTTGTACTGCTGCTTTCCTACCCAAAGTGGCTTATTTGGGACTTCAAGCTCAGATGAAGCTATCACTTATTACATTGCGCAGTACAGACATAAGCATGTCCTGAAGATGCCTTGCATTGCAAGGAAATACTTGAGCAGCATCCTTTCCCTGCTCGCCTGCCCAGTTCCTTTCTTCACTCGGTGTTCCAGCCAAACAGCCCAACAGTTAGCGTTTGCACTACACTTATGCTGCAACTCATTAAGTATCCACACTACATAAATTGGCAAGCACCAGATCACTGCTTGCTACCCCACTTATTTTTCACTCAGCACTGAGATTTCTAGCTGTGATGCATGAAGAGCATGAGACTCTGACTGCAAGGGTTATGTATTGTTCAAGTTCCAATATTCACAGCTGCAAAATCTTGGCAAGTAATAATGAAAGAGCTTCTGCTTCTTACAAATCAATTCATGAGACTCAAAAATCAAAACAGATGTAACCAAGTCATCTGTACCTCTGCTGATTCAATGCAAACTGTCAGGAAGCACAAAGGAGAATTCATTGCTCAGCTCACAAAAATGAATATTGTGCCACTCAGCTGCTGATAATGCGGAGGTGCTATGTAAAAAGACACCAAGTGCTCAGTCGCTGTTGCACTCATTAAATAAACAAGATGCCTGTGTTAGTCCAGCTTTGTAAAATGCATCCAATTGCCTTTGCATTAGATAGTTCAAATTAAAAGCAATTGAACAGACTTCTAAACAGAAGTTAACCCGGTAAAAGTGTAACTGCATGGGCTGATAATTTTTATGGCACCTACCCTTCCAAATTAGCCATGAAATGCTGTTTGACATACAGAACAACTGCAGATTGCTAAGCAAGAGAGTCACATGAAGCAAGTAGTTTCAGAAGATTCAGCTGTAATAAATTAAGTGCTGAAGAGAAGGAAATAATCACCACCCCATTATAAACTATTTCCCCTATTATTTTGTCTAGGGACTGCAGGACTGGGAGATTTTATACTTGAGAGACTGGTAACATGGCTATAAATCAACTGTCTCCAGAAGTGCAGGCTCACAGGGTGTCTGAGCCCATACGAATGTAATGTTCTCAGGCTCTCCAGAGACGCAGGCACGTGGTAAATAACAATGTGCAGATCTTCCCAAATCCATTTGAAAGATGCTTTGTTTGCCTCTGCCAGTGATCACCCTTTCAGCTGAGCCGGCAGGACAGACACATGCCTGCCCTTCAGCTGAAAAGGCATGAACTCAGGGAGAGATGTCAAAAGGCTGATTTACTCAGTAGAGGTGGCTCTTCTCCTCCTCCTCCTTCTAAAGGGATGGTGCCACCTTACCCTTCTTTACACCAGCTTCCACCATACACCAGTATGAATCCCTCAGCCTCCACCACACCAGTTCAGCTCACTAAGTTTACTCACTTTTCTTTAGCGAGTGAGCTTGCTCCTGCCTCAGAGAACCAAGGAGCTCATCATGTGGCCAGGTGGCTGCCAAAACCAATGCGAGGAGAACATAGCAATGCAGGACGCAGGGTGGAAAGGCAGCGAGAGCAGCTCCTCACACCAGCGCAGTGGGGTTTGCTGGAGTTCATCCACCAGAGCTCCTCAGCTGTGCCTTCGCTGCAAGGGGAGTTGA